TATCAAAAGGAGTAGGACACTACCTTATGAGCACATGTGAGTCATTTTCTCCAGGAAGAATGAAATTATAAAAAATAATGTACATATAAACTATAGACATCTTAGTTCTAGGCCTGATTCATTGTCTAAAATTCAATTCTTAGTCTTCGTTAATTTATTTATACAGGTATCCATATAATTAATATATATATCCATCCATGTACCCACATTTACCTATGTATATATATATGGAGATATTTATTTAAAGTTTTATACCCATCACCGAAGGATGGAAAAATTGGTTTGTTGCTCAATACTCATAAACTATAGCTAATAATTGTGCAAAAATTTGATCAAATGTTTTATGGGCGATGCTGCAACATCTGTGCAGAAATAGGCCTACCTAATATTATAGTGTATCAAAATTTAATTGTTTTTTCAATATCCTCATAACGCGCAGAGACAATCTTCAAAGCCCCATAAAGTATACAAATTCTTGGCCAGTTTTAAATTTGGAATGCACCTAAACATGTTCGCCTATTCGTCTGTCCTTTTGTCTGTTTGCGCAAGTTTGTAATGTTTCTTCCGTCAGCGAGATAAGTTTGTAAAAGTATTTGGGATTGACCTAAATTTTTCAAAGCACACGTCTGCGATGCCCACATGCCTTTACGACAAAAACTTTTATTTTGAAAATAGAAAAAATCAGCTGCGCCCACTCCATATTGCAGAGCATTAAAATTTTATTGTTTTATTTCTTTGGCACGTTTTAAGATAACGGGTACAAAAGATTCGGTCCCGACCAAATTTACTTTTCTTGCTTCTCAATTTTCACTTTCTTTTATTTCATTATTTTCTTTATCGGAAGACAAGTTTTAGTTTGCCAACCCACGTGTACGTAACACTTGTATTTTAAAATTGCACAAGGTATTGAATTAACAAATCATAATAATAAATATCTGTTATTATAATTTGTACACAAGTGTAAATCCGCTGTTGATATATAATTTTTAGCTGAATATCGAGATAAGTCGAAATTGGAAATTTTCTCCAATATATGTTATAATTATATTTAATCAATCCGTTGAGAATCGAAAACGTCAGTCAGTATTACGGCGAGATCAAAAGACAATATAAAAGATTTGAGGGGAATCATTCAAAAATATAGAAGAAAGTTCACAAAAATTGAAAGGTCACTTCAAGATCTATGTTTGATTTTAAAGCTTTCTTCAAACAATTTTTAGTACAACGTCGAAAATCAATCGATTCGAAGGTTTTAGCTCTCGAATAAATGCTTACGAGTTGCTTTCAAATTACTCTTTAAGATGACGCGAAATATATATGATGTACGATAAGCAAGACGAAATATACGATTTGTGCGAGATTAGAGTAAAAATATTTTTCTTATATATATTCATATATACATGTCGATATTATTAGTCGCCGATAAATTCTGTAAATTTTTTGATAAAATTCAAATTAAAAAAAAACTTGCTACAAAGCTTAGTAATCGAAATATGCGTGATCACTAACTATCGCTTTATTCGTTTTTTACGATACGGCTGGCGAATGCACAATAATAGGAGAATGAGGTGAGGTGGGCCGATGTTTCCATCCTAACTGGAAAATCATTTCTTGGATCGATTTCTTCGGGACCGCATGGACATGTGCGAGTTTTCATCGTTTTCAAGACTAAAAAATTTTGAGCGAAATTTCGTAAACCACATCCTAACAGTTTTATAGCTTACTGCATTTTCACTCAAAGCAAGCATTGTTTGTTGCAGTTTAAAATAGAGCACCCTATAGCGAAGTAAAGAATCTCTTTACACTGTGGTAAATGCTAAAGGGCACCTTGTAAATAACAGAAACTTATGCCATATCATCATTTCCGATTTCCAATCTATTTCCTTTCTATCCCTACGAAGGTAATAAGAGTTTGGGGGTCCCAATTCAGATTTGTTATAATAAAAAGCAAAAATTTTTTTTTAAACGGATCCAATAGATTCAACATAACGATAGGAAGAAGACGAGGAAGAAGAGACGGGACATATTCCAATATTGGCCTAGCTAAACCCTTTTAAGCTAATATACTCCTTTTGTAACGTATGAATCGTTGCGCTTAGCTAGATTAACAAATCCCTGAAAAGTTCAATTTATTATAAGTCTACTCTTTGATCGCAAAGAAAAACTAACTCAATGAACGAATCAATTAAGTTGTCAGCAGTGAGTGCCCTGTAAACAAATTTTCTTAAAATCAGTTTGAAAGATTCCGTCAATAACGGCCCGATGTTGTTGAATGGCCTTATCAAGCATTTTTTAGTAATGTAACTGTTTAAGTTGCCGGTTTGTCTTTTTAATAGCAATTTACATTTTTCTCCTTCAATTCCCCGAATAATTGTAGTTTTCTTAATTGCTAAAAGGGTAAATTAATTAAGTACTTAATGCCACTTCTCTTTGAACAGATAGTCGTAATATTTCATATTTTTTCATATAGTGGCTTTTCAAAATGAAGCGCTACATGGGAAATGGTCGAAAAAGTGAGTCGATCCGAAGCATTTTCAATGGAGCTTGTTCTTAGGCCAAAACAGGTCAGAGTACCAAATTTCATGAAAATATGTCTATATGTGTATGTACGTAAAGTGCAAGTTGAACACAAAAACGGACGGACGGATGGACAGATAAGCTGAGACTAATTCAAAATGTGATTCTGAAATGATTGGTGCAATAAACCGATGCTGGGTATTGTGTGCAAATGAATAAACTTCATATGCCCTATAACACAAGAGGTGTAGGTTATAACAACGATATATAACATGTCATGGTATTTTTGTACGCGATGTCTACATTCGGGTAACTGTTGCATTAAGTGAACTATTTTGAAATGGAAATATTAACATCAATTAATATTTCACTTATCAATTAATTACAGTCATTGTGGCTTTTAATTAACGCATAACTCTTACTCACGTATGTTATGTACGTATACGTATAATTATAACAACCTTCATTTAATAACGGTTAATAATCACAAAACGATTTATACGACAAAATGCTTACCCGGTAGGGAGGAATACTACACGCACGTATGCATACGCTTTAAGATTTGTATATATGTATACATGTGCGTGTAACAAAGATTACAGTTTTTATTTATTTTTTTAATTTATAATAAAAAATGGCTGCTGATACAACAAACAACGCAAACGAATTGTGGAATGCTATCATGGAATTTTAAATAAGGTTTTAAAAAGTTATCGATTTTTTCCAAACGAAAATTACACAATTAAAATAGTCGCATATGGTGATAGTCGAATCTTTTCTATCCTTCACCAGTATTTTAAATAAGAAAATTTAAAAGAAAAACAAGGAAATTGAATTTCAATACTTTATAATATACTACAAGCGTTGACGATTTTTTCACCTTTTTGTGTGCAGATACTATAGAATATACGGGAAAATCCCTGCCATTCTGTAGCTTATGAGCTAAATTTTTTTTCCGTTGAATGCAGAGTTATTATCTGCTTATGTTGCATCGTAGACTTATCCTTGAACGGATTGGCGCAATTTCAATATTAATTTGCCTGCGACAGCGTCGAAAATTTTTGCAAATAGTACCCAAGACTAAGTTTTAAAAATTTACGAAAAATTAGTGATCTCATTGTACTGTACTATGTTGGGACTATATAAATATGTTTTTCGGACTACACCTAGTAGAAGCATTTTGATGAGAAGTAAGCCTTTATACACCGACAAGGTCTATTGGATTGTCGGCTCCCTTTTTAAAGAAGACCAAATTACTCTAGTTGTCTTAAGCAATCAAATCTTATAATTTGTATTTAATGAACAGTCTTGACTGACTTTGCAACAAGGAATGGTCGGTGGTAATTTCAGATTGCAATTAATCTATGCAAGCGGAGAAATAGTTATCAAAGAAACTTTGCACGTTAGTTAATTTTAACCATAGGTGCAATAGAATACCTTGGCTTACATCATATATTAATTCTAGTACAAGGATATACTTCTATACGCATATATTAAATCGCGTATCACGGGCTTCGTTTTCGTAAGAGATTTGCCATAAAATAAATTGTTGCGACTAAAATGGGAGAAATCGATACATTGAAAATACTTATGTCGTTGATGGTTTCATTTTATATATTTTTATTGTTATACATGCCTACAAACTGGTATAAGGATATAAAAAGTAAGGATATAAAAGTAAGACCAAAAAAAAAATAAATAAATAAATAAAAAAGAACAACAATAACAAACATGCCACGTAATAATATTTAATGAAGTGGAAAATACTTTGACATCTTCTTGTTGATGATAATGTGAAACAACATTGTACACATATAGATATACACAAATAAGAAATCTACATAGAGAATAACCCGGTTAAAACTTAAATAACACACTAATTGGGGAATTAAATCGCAAAAGAAAAAAAACTTAGTAAATTTTGCCGAATAACACTAATGCGAGGACTAGCGCATTTTCATACTCATTGGGAAGAAGGAGATAACCATATATTACTCGCAACAAAGCGGAAACGGAAAAAGGGGCGTTCACTTGAACATACATTCGAAGAGCTAAGCATTAAAAGAGAGAAAGATAGTAATAATGCATACATATTTCAACGTGTATGCATGGGTGTTTATGTTTGTGTATATGTGTGTGTAGGTATTGAGAGTCTTTGCAATCGCATATTGGTATGCAATTTATACAATATGTAAACCATAAAGCACATAAACTGCCGTATCAGTACAAGTTTAATGGATATCCTGGCGGAGAGGAGAGGGTTGGTATGCATGCAAAGCTTGTATTTTAAGCCGAAAGAAAAGATTCCAAGAAGCAGCATTGATTTTGTGGTAGATTTGCTAAAATATATTTAACATAACCGTCAACGAGTAAACTACTGTTGGTTTCCGAAGAGGAAGAAAAAGTTTTCATTTTCATATTAGAAAGTAATTAACACTATTATCATTTAAATACAAATTAGTGACCAGCAGCAGTTGAGAAATATGCGTTCGCCGCCGCTCTCAAATATGTTATTAACAAAACTGCAACAACATCAACAACAAACGGCAGAAAATTTAAATCATCATCAACACGAGCAGCAACAATCGACTACAATGCTATCAACGAAAACTCCATTTTCAATCGATCATATCTTGTGTCAAAATTTAAATAACTATAATAACAATAATAATAACAACAACCATAACAATAATAGCAATAATAACAATGACAATAACATCGGCAATAACAACACCGGCAATAACAACAGTGTTCATAAATTCAAAACATCAACTAAATCATTAAATAAAATTTCAGGCGACGGTGAAAAAACAAAACATTTAAATATTCTTAACGGTCAGTATAATAATAACAACAACAACAATAATAATAATAATAATAGTAATAATAATAACAGTAATAATAATAATAATAATAAAAATAATAGTAATACGAACAACAGTCATAACAATAGTAACAGTAATAATGGCTCTACAAATTCACCGCAAAATTTGCGCTTCGGTCATGAACAAGAGGATTACCAAAGATTGCCTCACAACCATAGGTAAGCTCAAGACTACCTCTCTATCTCTGGCTCTGCACACCGCTTAAACCTCCGATAGAAAATTAAATTGATCTTTTTCTAATTCTTTTTATTCATTTATTTTCTCTTTTGAAGCTTTAATTTTAAATGAATCATATCTAATAAGCAGCAAGATGAGGAATTCAATAAGAAGAGGCATTGAGCATTTTCTTTAAATTTCCATAGTATCTTTGAAGTATGTTTTCGAATAGCGAAACATAAATAAAACATGAGTTATCTTATCTTATGTGATTATGTAACCTATTGAAAGTGATTTGAAAACATTTCTATAGGATTTTTTGAAAATGTTTATTATCATTATCAATCGGAACAATAAATATTTGATATGTTTTCTGTTACGTTTTTTTCTTTTTTTTTGCTTTCTTCATTTGTAAACTTCTGAGATATGTACATTTTCTAGTAACTGGCAAAGACTTTCCAAATCCTTTTCTTTTTCTTAACAACACATTTAAGAATCGAATTTTTCTAGTTAGTTATTCGTGTTACACTGCACACGCGACAGTTAGATAAATTTCCGTTAATATAGTATAAACTTGTTTAAAATCTTGAGACTCTCAAATCCAAAGTGTGGGTACTTACTTTCATAACCTTGCATTTTACACTTCCTTACGAAACCAACATTTTTGGTATGAAAAATAGTGTAAATCAGAAACAGCTGCAAATTTGCTTTTTTTACCCATTTATTGAGTATAAAATAACCAATAAACATTTAATAAAATATGAAAGACGATTTAATATAATAAGTATAAATACACATATGCAAGTACTTGTAATGTCAAATTAGTTTTTTCGTTGTTTTACCCTACACCAATTTTGGGATAGGGTGTATTAAATTAGTGCGGTCCTATGTAACACGCAGAAGGGCTTAAGTCAGACCCACCATTTATTATACCGATCGAGTCAGAATCATAATCCGAATTGATCTAAGCCTGTGTGTCCATCTATGAATTTGTGTTTCAGCTACAGATCACAATTTTTGAGATATTATGATGAAATGTGGCACATTGACGCATTTTGACTCAAAGACGAACGCTGTTGCAAATGGTTCGTATCGGTCCACTTTTTCGACCATTCTCCATATAACGTAATTACAATTTTCAAAATTTTTCAGCAAAAATTCCTAAGTAGTAGTATGTGGGCATTCTAAATTGGTATGAAAACTTTGGATCTTTGGGGCAATTTTTGAACGTCTCATATAAAGACAAAAAGGTATACTTTTCAATGCTTCATGATGAAGATTACATCATTCTAGGTTAGGCGAATATATTTTTTTATTTGTTTTATATTCATTTTAAGAGTTTTTGATGATTTTTGCCGATAGTTCTGCGATATATGTTTGTTCAACGAAAAACGTCGTTGCGATTTTCCCAACAGATTACTTTGGTGTCACGTAAATTTTTATTCCGACTTACTTTTATGCATGGTTGTCACCTATTTTTGAAGAAACCACTCTGGCTGAATAAGATAAGCAAAAAATATGAAATGAGCACAAAGTTCTATTTAGGTATAAGACTAAGTTTCTTTTATAGCATATATATTTATTTAACGTTTAGCTGAAGACGATCATGAATAAAAAATCGGTTTGAGTTTTTAAGGTAACAAGTTTCGCCCACTGCAGAGCCTGTAGTAAAATTCTTGTCTTTAGTTTGTGTAAATGTCTGTCCCTTAATATGTTGAAAACATTCTTCGATTATTCTCGAATTCTCCGATTAGTCATGTACTATTCAATATTAACAATAAATCTCTGACAGCGTTGAAGTACATCAATATAAGATATACTCATGGTCATGTCAATATTGTAGGTTAGATATAGTTATTATCCAACTTTGATTTCATTTTCTCAACTAAGTTAACTTACTTACTTAAAACGCAATGCGATCTTTTTTGTTTATTTCCGTGTTCGGAACAAAAATAATATAACTAGCCCTGACACGGCTTCTTCATTAACCTTTACCTTGCATGTTATCTTCACCTAAGGATCAAATTCATGGTATACTTAATGTTATTGTTTGTGTAAACTTAAACCTCGGCAAGGTATAATAAAATATTAGGACGGTGGTAGATCGTCTGCATTCACAGAATGAGCTAAGGTTGAATAGCGACGAATATGAAATTAAAATATTGGCAATTTCGAATGTTTCATGCTGATGGCATCTTAGAATGGAGAAGCCATTTGCGCGCGTTCTCTCAAAAAATAGCGAAACCATGTTTTCCTAATACATACGACTTGATTTCGATTTTAACCTGCAATAAACAAGGTACAGGCTGGCATAATTAATACGTCATGAATTATCCTTAAATCACGACTGGTTAAGGACCGAATTTACCATAATTGCAGCATTAGCACATCTCAGCATACTTCGAGAAGTTTCAATACACATGATATATTTCAACAGTACAAAAGTGGCCCTGTATTCAGTTTTCAAGCCGATTTTTCCAAGTCGATTTCCCAAGTACATCGATAATTTACGAAGTATATAAGCATTTACAGATCGGGCAAGAGTAAGAAGTGTAGAATAAGGAAGAGTAGATTAAGAAACATTTGAGAGAAGGGCATAAAGCAAATAATGTTTTTTTTTTTTTTGATTACAAAGATAGCTCGGCGTATGGCGTTTCGCCTAAAAAGGTCTTTCACTGTTAGTTAATTTAAAAGAAAAATTTATTTCCAGAAATTTTAAATTAAACGAACGGATACATAGCAGTAATCCAGTGTTACAAAACTCATCCGCAACCCCCGTTTCGAATGCCACAACGTTAACTATTAGTAGCAACACTACGACAACATTAACTAATGGTCAACACAATTATCAAAGTCATGCATTACCAGCCGTAGAACCACCACCACCAGCTAATATTTTGTATCCAAGTGCTGGTTACAATGATCATGGTTTTCTCCAAATGACTTTAGGTTACTTATCACCATCGACCGGAGCTTATAAATCCGTAGATCCATACTTTTTATCACAAGGTAACGGTAAAAATTTTTTAAATAAATTTTAAGCAAAATGTTGATAAATACAATTAACACTTCTTTAGGATGCTGGTGTCCAAAAATAACAATAACAGCAAACACACACAGTGCATTATTTACTTATAGACGACATTGTGCTTAAAATTCATTAAAATTTGTTGTAGTTTTCTTGGTTTCCTTTTAACTTGATTATATAAATATTTACCGAAAACTAACGAAAAACAAATTTTGATTCCTTCTCTTTTTCTCTCTTTACGCTCGAATAGCTGGTCTTTTTAGTGGTCATTTGTTTGGTGGTGCTGGATGTATGCCGGAATTGGCGTTAGGTTTGGGGGGCATGGGAGTAAATGCTTTAAGGCATTGTCGTCGCCGTAAAGCACGCACTGTCTTCAGCGATCCTCAACTTTCAGGCTTGGAGAAACGTTTCGAGTCGCAACGGTATCTATCGACACCAGAGCGTGTCGAATTGGCGACAGCCTTGGGTTTAAGTGAAACTCAAGTGAAGACATGGTTTCAAAATCGACGCATGAAGCATAAAAAACAAATGCGCCGAAGGGACGTAATGAATGGTAGGTACGATGTAAACGCGAGTATTGTATTAAAGGTTAGTGTTCATCATGATCCCGCCTTTAAGGATATTTCATTAACGTTCCAAAGCATTTATTCCAAATTTTGCATTGCTGGAGGTTAAGAACTCAATTCACCTTTCAGATCTGTTGAGTTTATACGCTATTGTTATTACAGAAGAAATGGAAATCTTTGCAGGATTTTATGATAAAATTAAATTATTTTAATAATTGCTGATAATTAATTAAATAAAAACAACATCGATTCGGCGTAGTTAGAATTCAGCTTTGTTGCCTTTGAATGGCACGAGTAGACGAACGAAAAATTTAATTTTTCAGGCGTTTCACGCTTTTCAAATAGATATATGTTAATATAGAATCTGTAGTAATATTCGTCGTAGATCTTAGTAAACTCATCCGTTTATCCTCATCGACTAATCTATCTATCTGTTTATCTGTCTGTTAAAGCGAAAATAAAGACTTCATCCAGAAGAAAAAATTCGATGACAAGTTGCGCTTGTACTCCTTGCACCTACGCTTGACGCTTGATATACTAGAGCAGGCAAAAGGTGTGAGTGGATTTAATGACTGTGACTGTGTTCATCTAATCATTTAACATTGAATTGTTTCTTCTCGTCAAAATGGATTTACGTGGAAACTAGTCAACCAATTGAAGTATTAATCAAATGTAGCACACAGGCATAGGTTAGATATTATCTGCCTGAGTGGACGAGTAGTCTCGACTAGCAGCTCTCTGTGGTCGTGGATTCAAATCTCAAATGCGGTAGAGTTTTTAATAAAGCCGAAAGCCTTAGATGCTAGGGCTTTAAGACTTTAGTCTTAGAATTTATTCTCTAAATGGCTAAATTAATAATAATAATAATAAAAAGGTTAGATAATAAAAAATTACGACTAAGCTGAATATAAACAGTTTATTCTTAGCTTTTATGGGTGTCACAAGTGAAAAACGTTAGCTTATTCTTGCGCCAAAATCTAAGTACACGATTTTTCTTCATTTTTAGTGAGAAATGGTTTATTACTGGAAGCAAGAGAATTTAATGAATTTGTGATTTCTCTTTTGAAATTCACGATTTTTGGATTAATTAGCAGCAAGCAGGCGAACAAAACGGGGTGGTAGTGAAAGGTTATAATAAACAATATATTTTGTACACTAGGGTGTTCAAAATCATTTTTTGGTTATTAAATAGCCAGCGAAAAAATTGCACAATTGATCAAAATTTTGTGCTTGTACTTAATTATCCGCTAACTGGGTTATTTTTAAAATTACGTCATGCGGTACGTGGTCAAAGTCAAGCACTACTATGGAGACAACTTTCCATCCAAAAATAATTTGAGAAGAATGCACAATCACAAACGCACAAATAGTACAAATTTTGAGAAATATTTTATAACTTGTTAGTATATTATACTTGATGATATACTTTTAGAATTTCTTCATAAAATATGTTGAATATTTATTTAAATTAGAGCCGATAGCCTGTGTTGCTAGTGCTCAATGTCTTTTTTTTAGTCTAAGAATTCAATTCATTAGTCTAAAATTAAAATAATAATAATAATAATAATAATGTTGAATATAAAAAAAATTTTGTAACAATAAGAGTGTACACTTTCTTCGGCGCAATTACTTTACGAAGCGAATTCGATATTTTATATGTAAATTGTGAGCAGAGTTGACTGCTACTCTGCACTTAATCGGCCTGGTGTTAAGCGTTATTTCTCTCCATGGTCGTATCGGTATACGCTGGCCTCCGGACCACTTTTCTTGTTACAGTTGCTTCGATTTTGTATCAATTCCAGTATTCCGAAAATATTCTTTATGTTTGTTGTTATTATAACTTAGTTAGACTGAAGAAATAAGTAGGTGGACGAGCACTAGCGGCTGTGATTAAAGACTCTTTCCTTTCAAAGGTAGCCTAGATGGCTAGCTTAGTCCGTGGGGATAGACGCTGCGAAGGTACGTTTGCAACAAAATATTCCAATATCAATTTTATTATAAAACAACATAGGTAAGTCACACAAATCTCAAAGAAAAAAAGGTGTTAATGATATGATATAGTTAGGGTTTCGAAAGATCAAATAGGTCGTGCGTCTGGCTTTCGCAAACTAAATCATCTGTGCTTATTGTATGCTTATAAATGTATACTAAAAGCTCAATTCTATATAGCGGAGCTGGTACCATAGCAAGCACGAAGAAACTTAAATTCTCCCCAGAGTTACTATATTTTTATGACAAAGCCATATTTGAATTTGCATGAAAACTAACTAAGGCATTTACACAACCAAATGCTAAAAATTGTAAAACCAAATACACGTTCATGATGCTTTACCTGTACGACGGAGCCGGTAACTAGAGAAAAGATTAACAACAAATCGCAAAATATTTAGTTGGTAGCATCCTTGCAAAAGGGTAGCAGAATATTTGCGGAAGGCAAAAGGCAACCGAGTTGACTGAGTAGAATACAAGTTCGTGTAAATAATACATGTGTAGATACGTCTCCTTAGCGTTGAAAATGAAACGTACCTTAGCCTAAAAAATGACAATTCAGTGATACGAACTTAATCTCAAAAAGATTAGAATGAAAATGTAAAACCTCGATGGCAACTGTGTGTTGCAATTTGTATGAATATTAAAGTGTTCAAGGTACTTGCACAAGCCAATGCAAGGCATTACGGCAGCGTGCCTAATATCGCTCCTTGTGACACGACTCGTTGTATTGGAATCCGGTCTGAAACAAGTCTTTTACGCAAAACTGACTGGCATGTAGCTGTAAGATAGCAACTCATTGTAGTAAGGGAGATACTGAAACAGTTTTCGATGCAATGTCAACTGGTCCTCAAGATTCATCAAGATCTGCTCGTAATTCCGCACCTAAATCTATTACTTGCACTCGCAGACTATTGATATATTTGGAAGAATTACAATTGTTTACCTTTCTTATGAAATCCAAATGACTAATGCGTCTACTTTTCCTTTTTGGATCAAGACCATGATTATAAATACCGCGATATTTATCACGGCATCGCGTTTTTGGTGAAATGATATCATTTTGTTGTTATTCATAGCCGTAGTCTACTATGTGGAATACTACGACTACTATGATTGATTTTCGACATACGTTTTAAATTTTCTCTACAATCGTATCAGATTAGATTCAGAAGTAGACCCTAAATTTCTAATATTAAGGAACGATGAAAAATTAGAATTTTAAATCCTTGATGAAAAAAGGCAAAGACCCATTATTCGTTTTAAGATATTCTTAAAAAAATGCCGCATTTGACGCTTTGAGTTTTCATGAATTATTGTCAATTTTCTAAGAAACGAAATTCTAAAAAAAGGAGAAAACCAGGTACATATTCATGACGCGCCACCTGCGTCTGTAAATTTAGGGGGAAACCGATTAGGTAATTACTTATGAGAGGATATACAAGCAGAAGATTTGCGGAAGTCAAAGGCAGTCGAAAGTTATTTGAAAATTTAGTCGGGAGAGTCGAGTCAAGAGAGCTGAATTCCAACATTCAAGCCAACAGGACCAAAGCGAAGATTTGCGAACAGATCTCTTCAGAGTTATAATGAAAAGCAGTATTATCAAAAAAATCACAATTCAGTGATACGATCTTAATCCTAAAAAGGAGTTGAACAAGTTAAAATGGCACAACTACACATTTAGTAAAGTGTAATTTATTTTGAGAAGAATATGCACATAGTATCCTTTGAGGAAGTTTATACTTTCAAACCGCGATCGAACTTCGACTTTTGCCTCCTCTATTTTAACGCTTCATAAAGCATTGTTTTCTTCAATTTTCGATAATATATGTGAGCTCCTGGCGACATAATATGGGATAAAAACATAAGTATTTTTTAGTTACTTAAAGTTGCCTCCCTCCTGCAAGGTGGCGTGGAGCATTTAAAAGTGCGTTTGCATGTATTGATGTTACAAGACGTGATTCACTTTCAGAACAGTTGCACCTTCATTTTAGACCCGTTTTGACGACACGTCTTGTTAAATGGGAAAATTGAGATCAACGTCTGATAGTCGGCGACGCTGCTTCGGAAATAAATGAAATTATTAGTGGTGTCCCGCAAGGCTTAATTTTAGGGCTTGTGTTGTTCAATACTTTGAAAAGTTATTTAGCTACATTAGCTGGTATAGTTACAACATTCTTTTATTAAAAGCCGGCTTATACAGCATTTGATCCGACGAGTCAATGAATGCTTAGGTCCCATTGACAGCACTGTTTAGCAATATTGTATGGAAAACACAAAAGTATTTCGTTAGAACGTATTTAACGTCATTTTTATTCTTATATATGAAACGAGTGCTATTTGTATGTCTACTGTTGTGTATAGAGTGAAATTTCTTTAAAAAGCACTTTGAAAATTTTACTATCGCTTTTAATTTACTAACCATTTCTCTGACCACAATATTTCACTCAAACTCCTTGCTAATCGTTGAAAAACTTTTAGTTTCAAGAAAATTTTCTTAGAAATTAATTTTTTTGTCAAAATTCTACATAAAATGGCTTCAAAAGAAACTTCTGGTATAGCAACTACAATAGAGAAAACGCAATGGTTTAATTGACCAATTAAGAGTAAGTAAATCTTATTAAAAGTCAGGCTTTATTTTAGGCTAGGAGAGCAATAACGGCAAACGAAAAATTAAAAAGTTTTCTTATTTCTTTGTTTTTGTTCTTTCTCTAGTAGAACCAGTTGACTTTTCACGTTCAGAAAGCGGTGGCGTCAATAACAACCCTACCCCTAAAAATAATAACAAGAATAATTCCAATTCAGCGACGACGCAATCTAATACAAATTGCTCAAGTCTCCAAAATGGCGCTGCTGGTGAGGGGAAGTCATCACAATTTCAAAATCAGGCATTTCATGGCAATTCACAGCCACAGGCGCACCACCACCAGCATTTGCAAATGCTACGAAATATAACGAACGGTAGTCACAACCTTGATAGCACTGTAAGTTTTTTGCATCATCATTCTACCGTCTCGGACTTCAATTCTGATTTGGATTCGGATACCGACACCGATGCAGATGATGGCGAAAATAGCGATGATATTGATATTGTAGGCGACACAAAGTTATACCACTTGACATAATAATTTAAATTGAAAATAATCTCTTGTAATTTTTAATTATTTATGACTTTCTCTCTCTTTTAACCTATTTATTTTTCTTGCTTTTTTAAAGATGATTAGTGCGCGTGCAATTATTTTAACTGATAAATTATACATTAAATACAAAGAATTTTTTTTAATATAATTTATTATGTGTAATAAAGTGTTGAAGAGAAATTTATTGCCGGAAAAGTCAATAACAACAAAATCATAGGTTTAGCTATAACAACTTTACGAAAGTTCGTAGAATAAAATGGTTTATCTACGTATGCGCGTAACAATAAAGTTATCGAAAAAGCTGGTTCGTTGATTCGCTTTGTCAACCGCAAAAACTTGTCACTTTATATCCGGAGCAATTGTCTACATATAATTTTATCCCTTAACTCCCTCTCGGACACAAAGGTTGTTATACATTATATTAAGTTTGTGCGGAGATGAGCGCAACACCCAAAAGAAGTATTCTAGATCGACTTGCTTTTTATTATTCTGAATCGATTTAAGCATGTATACGTATCTGTTCGTTTGATGTCCGCCTGCACACGTACACCGCTTGTGGTGCTGGGTATATTAAGTTAGTGCGGAACACGAAGAAGGGCTTAAGAAAGCCCCACCTTTTATTATACGGATCGATTCAGAATCATTCTCCGAGTGGATTTAAGCAGGTGTACGTATCCGTTCGTTTTATGTCCGCCCACATATTTATACCATACCCCCCCTAAGGGATGTAAAGGGTATATTAAGCTAGTACGGTCGTAGGTAGCATACATAAGAGCTTAAGATGGACCCACCTTTTATTATGCCGGTTGATTCAGAATCATAGCTAAATCTAAGCCTAAGAAATCTACTATAGAATGAATGTACCGCTCGTAAATATAAAATCGAAGAAAATCTCCATTTTTTTCGCATCTAGCTTGTCTCGTGCTCTTTCAAAACAATTAAACTTAAATTAATCTACGGATAATATAAGTATACTTTTAAGGCAACAACAACACTTTTTAGGTTATAGGAAAGAATTAGCGACAAAATAAAAATATAATTACCAACGTAATTAAATCAAATTACAAACTTATAACCAACTCTCTAGAACGTGATTCTATTAATAAGCAGAGCATAGTCACTCCTACGCGCAGTGATTTCCCAGCGACAAGTTTTACAACAAAAAGGGTAAGTTTCCTGACAGCGAATTAAATATAACAGTATTAAGTGTCAAATAATTGACTCTAAGAATGTAACCCACAATTATCAAAAAAAAAAAATAATTAAAAATAAAATAAACATAACATTCAGTTTTAGTTAAAACTACCCCTTTTTGTGCATTAGAGTCTTTGCGATTGATGGGCGTCAAGGTACTCTTTTGAAAGTAATAATTGATTTAATCTGACAATACTTCTTCTCTGAAGTATATAAATGTGTCATTAATTCGAGACGGGTGCCGACCACGATTTCAACATCAATGATTAGTAATTGTTTGTTAATATCACAACAGATTTAGATAGAAATGGATTTAATAGAATTAAAGGAATAAAATTTTTCAGGATAACGAAAAATTGACGACTAAATATTAAGAGAAAAAGTTAAATGCATTCACGAAGCATTATCTTTTAAGATCTAATTTATTTGTAAAATCGATCACATCGTATATACATTAATTTATTTATTATTAGTTGCGCCTATGAAATGTAATGAAGATTGTACATGTAAAAGAACAGAGTCTTGAAATATTTGCTAAGGGCTACATAGGATGCAATTAACTCGACTTAAATATACTACAACAAAAATTGAAGACTAAGAATAAAAAAAAATTCACCATTGTCGAGGAACCACTTTGCGTAATGCAATTCTTCAGTCATTGTCGTCGTAAAATACCAAAAATTGGAACTTGCTGCTACGTAAGCCCATGTTTTCCCTTGGTCTCTCGGCCAATGAAACACCATATATTAAATTTGCTAAAGTTAAGAATTTATTCGCCAAATGTTTTCCTTAGAAATCACTATAACGTGTTGCCATTTTCTTGAAGTTTTCAAGAGAATAATTACCAGAAGCTATTTGGTGCAAGCTTAGCAGAGATGCCTTCCGAATTTTAGGTCGATATCCGCCGTCATGAGTTAATTAGATCAAACTCTTATGTTCTTAGAATTATGGGCGAACGATAATGTGCGCCTTCTTGGGTGTAAGACAACTCTATATCACTTAAAAGGCGTATATTCCCTCTCTGAGCAAGGCGGGACTTATCGAACACCTCTAATTATTTAGGGCTCCTCATTTTAGCACAAGAACAGCCTCTACTATATTTCCCCAAGAACCCTAAAGCTGTCAGATTTTCGTTTCTCCCACGTAGGCGTTGAAAAATGCATATTCAGCACTTATATTATTCATACATATTGCGCTGTTATCTAACTTCTTTTTCTTGGACTTCAAACACCCAGGCGGAAGTATCGATCTAACAACGACTGACACCCAATCACTTTACTACTTGTCTCAGTAACAGCCAGGACTGTGATAAATCTTGGGCCCCCATGGAATTTGACTGATTAGTGAAGAAGGCGACTTCCTCTGCTCTCGATGGCAAAGTTGCTCGTCTACTCGAGCAAAACCGATCATTAAATATTATACATTACTTTGGCTAAAACAATTGTTCATGTTATTTCCCAAAACGTGAATTGACTTGGTCTAAATTTAGCAGAATCGATTTTCTTATCAAATATCTCCACCTGTCTACTGCAAATTAAGGTTTGCTATCCCAAAAAAACTTACTTTTCATGGGAACGTTTATGTAGTGTAGAATCTAAATTTTAATCTTTTCTCGTGGGAACGAAAAAGAAATTGGCTCATCCCTTCCAAATTTTTCATATTAATTTAATACTCTTACCAAGAGACTTTTGTCGAAAAGTTTTAAAAATTGCAAATGTTTTTTCTATAACGATTTTTTTATAAGATATTATATAGAGAACATTTATAAAAATGATTCGATCAAAATTTCTCATAAATTTTAGCTGTAGTTTTAACATAAAAATACATGAACAGACATCGGACGGATGCGCAAACAAACAGACGGAAAGAGAAGCTTCAATCGTATCAGAAATTCGAACGATATAATAACAGATGCGCCTATTTTAAGTCCCTGTGGGTATTATATATATCCGCCTAACCGCAAAAGTCCATAGTGAAGTTACTAGCTATACTGATATACAGGCTGATTAGTCTTACGGCAAATACTCCCATTGAAAGCCTGTGTCTTTTCTATTCAATGCAACTTGCACTATAATTAGAATCCAGGAATTTAATAAAAAGGATTTAACACATTGTATATCACATATATATTTCAAATCATAGCAGTATTTTGTAGATAATTGCGGAAGACATAAAACACACTATCCTAACACGTCTGTGCTCATTGTGATAATTGAGTGTGAATCTTTGGTCCACTTTAGCGGATTCCCCCTTAACGCTGCATTTGTATTAAGGAAACGTTTAAGACTCAACTTAAAGCTTTAAACTAAAAGCTTATATTGTGCTTACTACAGAGTACGTTAAGTCGCACACTTGCTCTTATTTTACACGCACCTATGAATGTGTCACGTCGATTGATAATTCGGCAAAAGAAATGTTTTGTAGCAATTCAAACAGAAACTTTTAATTCTATATTATAAGCTTTAAATTAGCAAAATCGTATATCGACTTAATTATAGCAAGAATAAAGCACGCTTTGAACTGAGCGGACAAAAACTTGTTCTTTTTTCACTTTAGTGAATCTCCGCTGCGGCTTTGACAATGGATTAAAGTGAAGATGCCACGACTTCAGGGAAAATTAGCACTTTGTCTTCAATTGGAGAGTTAGAGGATAATTGCCCGGAGGCATTCTCGTTACTTTGCGGCTAATAAAAAGACTTTCTGATCCCACGGAACTCAGATGACGCCGATGCCAAACGTTTAAGTGTCGTTCAGTTGATGTGAGGCGTTGATCTGAATCCAGAGCTACAAAGCAACCCAAAATAGTGCAGAAGTTGTAGAAAAACCCCGCTTTGTCCAAAGAGAGCCGCATGATAATTGCTTTGTATTGTGTTACCGATCACCTACCGCATGACAACACCGCCCTACATTTGTCAAATATAGTTATTGTAATTTCTCCGATTCACTGCTACTTTAAGCTAACAAATATTCGACCTACTAATATGAACAGTACTGGAGCTCCACAAATAACTATCACGACAAACATGTAGGATGACTCGTTTGAAAATGAACTTTCTTGGCATTACAGGCGAGATGGCGCAATTGGTTTCTCTAAGGTTTAGATACAAAATAAAATTTGCTAACGATTTCGTTTTATTATGAAGCGGTTTCATGATAACATACTATTGATAGCATTGTCGTTGGAAATGTATTTTGTTATTGTTGTTTTTGCAAACATGTTTTTCTTCTTTATTTATTTAAGACTACTTTAGTGTGAAAAGTTATATCGTGGACAACAGATTTAGCTTAATCGTTGAAACGAACGGGACTCCATATTTCCTTTTCTCGTGATCACTGAATTAAATCTGTAAGTATCTTAGAAACTAAGTGCTACTGATAAGGGCGAGCGAACCGAAAAGAAATTTAATACCAAGTGCTTCATTGTTACGTTTAATGGTGACGTTGACAATTTGGTTCTTTGGAGGGCAATTGAAAAAGTTGCCTTTTCTTTGCAATTATATGAAAAAGAAAATAAAATAAAGCAAGTAAAAGGTAAATATTTATTTTTTCATTCATACGTATTTTCCAAAGTTTAAAAAAAAAGACAACATAAGCGGAAAAAGCTTAATTAAAATTAGATCGACTTTACTATACACCACACACGTTTTTTAAAAGAAGACCGAAAACTTGAAAAATTATCTACTTTCGGTCAACAAAGAAGAACTAAATATAAAATCTATAAATACTAAAATCATTTTGTTTATAAGGAAGATCGAAATACACAATAATTCCATCTTCCGCCGGTATATACATAAGAGAAGAAAATAATTAATAGAAAATTTGATGAAAGATTTTTTTGACACTCCAGGGGACAATATCTTCTGAAATGTAGGCAGCAGTTTAACGCATACTTCCACTACACTTACGCACTACTTCCGACACAGCCATTAATGTTAGCCATCATGCAATGTCTTTCAGCCGGAATTTTATTTGTCAGTGTTTTCGGTTGCCACGAATATAAGTGACGATCTATTTGCCATTATTTTTAGTTCAATTTAAATTTCTTTTCTTAAATAAAAATATAATTTAAACTATAATATTTTACTAATTTAAAAAATTATTTTGAGGACGAATTTTCGAAATTACATATTAACGCACTTTTATAATCCTCTTCAGTGCAAACACAAAAATCTTTACCCATGGAGGCCGTACCGACAACCGACCGTAAGTTCCGTTAATATGTTTGCTTATTAAGGAACTTTATTGTTTATTAACTTTAACACTCTAATGAAATGATTTGTTCAATAACTTCCTAACAACATTCTTCAGTTCTGCTTGTTTGTTTTTCAATCGAAACCAAAAAAAATTGTTTTATTCAACATTTGTGAAATTTGACTAACATGCAGGTTCGCCGTTTTGAAATCGGCACTGATGTGCCCGGCCCTAATTTCTATATCTTTCTAAGATGAGATAAAAAAATATTTTTGTTATGAACAACCATGCAATTGTAGACAATCGTAACCGCCGTTTTCTTATTTAAGGTGTTAAGCTTATTACCGATGACCCATTTCCATATACCTTTTTTGTTAAATATTCTTTTTTTTGCATTTTTCATTCAGCCAACATGACGCAGCAAGGAGCTGTTTTTGACTCAAACTGTATGACACTAACGCGTTTCGTCCTGAAAGAACAACGCAAATTTAAACATGCAACTGGCGATCTCTCTCAATTATTAAATTCTATCCAAACTGCCATTAAAGCTATTGCTTCAGCCGTTCGCAAAGCCGGCATAGCCAAATTACATGGTATTGCTGGCGATATAAATGTTCAGGGTGAAGAACAAAAAAAATTGGATGTCTTGTCGAATGAATTGTTTATTAACATGTTGAAGTCGTCGTATACTACTTGCTTGTTGGTGTCGGAGGAAAATGAAAATGTTATTGAAGTGGAAACAGAAAAGCAGGTTTGCGGCATTAATAATTAAGTGCGCACAAAACTTAGTACTGTAATTTGTAGGGTAAATATATAGTGTGTTTCGATCCTTTGGATGGTTCTTCAAATATTGACTGCTTAGTATCAATTGGCTCTATTTTTGCAATTTACCGTAAACAAAGTGAGGGAACGCCTACGGTCAATGACGCTTTGCAACCTGGCAATCAAATCGTAGCAGCTGGATATGCTTTGTATGGTTCTGCTACAGCTGTTGTCTTAAGTTTGGGCTCCAGCGTAAACGGTTTTACTTACGATCCGGCAATTGGCGAATTTATTCTGACTGAACCCAATATGCGCGTCCCAGAGAAAGGAAAAATTTATTCCATTAATGAGGGTTATGCTTCTGAATGGGATTCCGGGATCTTTCAATACGTCGCAGCAAAAAAAGATCCTTCCTTGGGGAAACCGTACGGCGCGCGCTACGTAGGCTCCATGGTGGCGGATGTCCATCGTACCATAAAGTATGGTGGCATTTTTATTTATCCAGCCACCAAATCATCTCCAAATGGTAAATTGCGTTTGCTGTATGAGTGTAACCCTATGGCTTATTTAATGATTCAAGCTGGTGGATTGGCCAGCGATGGCAAACGATCAATCTTAGACATTATTCCGCAGAAAATTCACGAAAGATCTCCAATATTTTTAGGCTCGACGCTAGATGTGGAGGAAGCTCTAAGCTATGTACATAAATCTTAACTTGTTTTGAACATCATTTTTAATATTCAATAAAATTTATTCAAAACTAAACAAAACATTTAAGACAAAACTTCATCGCTTTTCAATTGCGACATCAATAAGCATTGGCTTTGTGCTTAGGCACAAAAGTAAAACCCTCTGGTACAGGACCTAGAAGCATTTCACTTAATTTCACCCAATCTTGAGAATTTGGAGAACTCATCAAAGTTTCCATTTCATCTCGTCCCCGAAATTGTTGCGGTCTCTCATTGATTCTCTGTGGGGGTTTTAATAACAGTTCATATGGTATGTAACGATAGAGGAATGATTGCCATTCTAAAAGGAAACGTCTGGTATTTTCTACACCTTTCGTATCAGATCCCCAATGTTCTAAACCGTAATTTACGTATTTACGTAGAAGTTCAAAACGTTCTGAAGATGTAGGACTCCAATGTTTCTGTTGTTTGATTTCCTGAAAAATCCAGGGTTTAATTAAAGCTCCACGTCCAATCATAACAGAAGAAACGTGTGGAGCAATTTCCTAAAAATAATTAACCATAAGTTAATAATTCTTAACTAAGGACTTTTCTTACTCTTTTCTCATTGTAATCTTCATAAGATAAAATGTCCCCATTGCCTACAACTGGTATCGTCTTTATTTTAGCAGCACATTGTTCTATATAGGTCCAGTTGGCATTTTTCGTGTAACGCTGCTCTCGGCTTCGACCATGTAACTAAATTTAGAAAATGACATTGATATAATTCGACTTTGCAATTTGTAAAATTATCGATCGGATAAAGCAGAAATCTTCTTCTTTTGTTATTAAGCAAATCAACAACTGAAAACTCGCTGAGATGTGTAAAGAAGGCCCAATGTGAACGCAGAGTTCTTTGTGCTGTGGGGGGGTAGTAGAGATGGGCTTAGATTTGTTATATAGTATTATTGTTTGCTTATTTCAGCGTTTATTTGATTAGTCTTTTTAATTTTGTGTGTTATAAGTTCGCCACGTTATTTTCATTAAAATATGCACCTTACTCCCCAGGGTAAAATAGAACAGAACAGCGAGGAGTATATTCCGTTGTGTAAGAAGTAACGCAGTGTACGAGTATAAAAAGTCATACGAAGGAATTGGTGAGTGCGAGGATAAAAAGGTGTAAAAGAGAGTAGGTTCGTAATTTGACTGTAAACGCTTATATATCTTGATGATATGATTTAAAAAAAGACAAGAAAAGTAAACTGTTAAATTGCGAGAACGCAAAATGTCAAAAATGCTGTGACCACGAAGACCACATATACTAAATTTGCGAAGTTTGGAATAGCGAATGGAAGTGGTAACATTCGGACAGACAAATAAAATGTGATCACGAAATTATAAGACTCCACATATGCATTTAGACCTGTTTACTATGTTAATTTTGAATAGATGGCCATTACATCTCGTGCGATTAAATATCAGCCTGTTAATAAGGCAAATTATGTCACGCTTGAGTCCGTTATTGATGACTCCAGCGGCGTTATTTATTTGTGGAAATAGGAATTATTTCATAGGTGTTGACAAGAAAGAAGTGAATGATTTTTGTCGACTGTTTTCAGATCTTCTGGAATCAGAGTCCGATAATTAAAATGATGTGGTCTGGAAGATGCAAGATATATTTTACTAGTTTTGGAACTCTTTCAACTCGTTAGACGCTTGTGGTTGCTTCTAGAGCATTGCTCTTGACTTTCGGATTTAAATTGTTAAACTGATTTACAAATACTTGCGAAATGTTTACTTTCTGTCAGAATATATGCAAGGAACATAGTAAACAGACAGACTTTCTGTCATTATAAACAAACAGACTTTCTATTACGATAAACGCAAAGTCATAAACGATTTGGAATGGATCTTATAAAAAAAAAAAGGTAAAGTCCTTCCTTGAGTTATAAATATAAAAATAAAATCTACCGTTACTGCGGCTGCTCCCCATTCTTCCACCAAAGGCATTATCTCGTGCGCGGTACTTTTATCAGCATATACACCGGTGCGCATTTTGACAGTAAATGGTATTTTTGTGTTTAAGTTGGCACATGAACGCACAATTAATTCTAATATGTTTGTGCGACGCATCAGAGCACTCCCACCGCCTTGTTGATAGATTAGATCAATTGGGCAGCCGATGTTCAAATCTAAGTAGTCTACTTCAGTAGTTTCCTGCACGAGTTGAGCGGCTTGCGCTACGATATTCGGGCTGTTTCCGCACAACTGTATGCCAAATATATCCTCGGATTCATGACGTTTGGTTAATGCCCATTCTTGTGTCAAACCCTTCAATAAAGGCACGCAGCATGCCATCTCCCCGCAAGTTATATCGGCGCCAAACTCTTTACATATCCGGCGAAAGGGCAAGTTTCCAACAGTTGTAAGGGGCGACAAAATCAATTTCCTTGCAAAGTCAACCGATCTTAAGGACTTCGTATCCTGACCTTTGATTTCTTTCTCATCTATGACAAATCCGACAGGTTTTTCGACGGAGTCAAATTTCTGATACTTTCTTAAGTCGCGTATTTCTTCAGATTGTTTAACCAGTCCTTTGCTCTTGCTAAAATCGTAATCACGCTTGCGCAAACGTACTTGCAATTCTAAAACACGTAAATCTTATTTATCTGGCAATGAAATAATAGTCACATCTACCTGGTGTTATACCGTTGCAAGTGGTTTTTCTTTCCATTTCGTCAAAATCTTCCCGTTTAACATTGCGGCCTTGTTCGTCCAAATGTGCTTTTGCAAAACGACAAGTTACTCCACGATGGCAATAGCCTTTAGCGTCAAACACTGGACAACGTTCGCCCAAATCTGGCTGCTTGTTAGCCATATATTGCTGCAAATCGTGGATATAACGACAATTTTCCAAAGAGCATCGTTTCTCCGTAGACCCCATCAAAAGAGAATTGCACAGATGTAACGTTCTGTCTTCTTTGTAAACAGGACGATTCTAAAAACAAAATAAACACGAAATAAAAAATTGTGTTCTCAATAAATGAAAGCGAATCATACCTTATTTTGCCCTCGTTTTCTTTCTTTCTTATCGCTTTTACATCGTTTATTTTCTTTCCCTGTTTGTTCTCCGCCTTCAATTAAGTCGCTAGCAGTTTCACATACCAATTCTCTTTTATTAGATTCCTGCGTTCCTATTAATTTGGGTTGCTTATCCGCGTCCGCTATTAAATATCTAACAAAATTTTCAAACAACAAACAATGAGGACTAGGGAAGCCTTTTTGGGCTGTAATACAAACGTTTTTCTTAACTTCACTTACTCAGACTTTATATAACAAATACCGGACTCCATTTTACAAGCTTTCCTTTTTAATAGAATATATAAATGTGATAGATTTCATACTTTTGATGAAGATGGGCAGAGGAATTATAAAAATCGTAATGTTGCTATTCACACGTGCATAAGAATTGTTTTGATACGCTGTCTGTAATATTTCTGCGCTAAAAAATAACACTCAAAATTAGTCGACATGAAGATAAAAAACCCGGCTGTCATCTCTTATGCTACTTTGACTTTAAAACTGAAACACAAGAGAATCGAATAAGTTGTTTCCATGAAATTCGTTATTATCAAAATTTTACTTTTGCAATTTAACTATTTTGAGCATATCTTAATTTGGGATATTACCATTTTTTAATCTCCCGTATACCCGACGGTGGTCTTAGCTTTTATTCTACTAGTACTACTTAGAAAGGTAGGAAAGAGAAAAATTATTTTAAAGAAAAGTAAATAAATTTAATCGAAACCAAAACCCCGTTAGACAGCAAGTAATAATTAAACACGAATGAGTTAAGATGATCTGATTCCGCATAATTTGCTATCTTTATAGCTGCCTTTTAAAACTAATTAATAAATTTGAACATGGATTGAAACTATACTTGGAAAACAATGTAGAATTGAAATGTTACTTGTCTCACAGCTTTAACCGCATTTGTGCCGTTTGCATCTCCACCATATTAAAAACGACGCCTAGGCCTTAGCTCAGCTGGTTTTATTATTATTTTTTTTCTTTTTAAAAACAGATGTTCTCTGTACTCAAGTCGCAGAAGAAGAAGAATTTAATATTAGTTTTGACTTTCTTATTAAGTTAGTTTGAAAATCGATTCCGTCAATCGCTAGCGAGTTCACATTAGGAAATTACCTCTTGTGAAATAAAATTCAATGATAACTTCTGATTAAAATGGTGCAAATATTTAGGTATTCGTTAAATAGTATTAAAAAGGTATACATATATGAAACTATTTCTCCTTAAAAAAACAAAAACAACAAAAATGAGATATTAATTAACTTGTAACAGTCCGCACGTTCTCATATGCGCGGCAATATTTTCCTTGATAGCTTAAGGTTAAATGTTAAAGGCGGACATGGAGGAAACGGCTTGCCTAGATATGGTGGCGTTGGTGGCCAAGGAGGTTGTATTTACTGTGTAGCCAAAGAAGGCGTAACATTGCGAAATGTAGTTCAACGTTACGCAGAGAAACGTGTAACTGCTTCCAACGGCGAAGACAGTAGTAAGCACCGCCTTCTAGGAAGACGGGGCGTCGATGAGGAAGTCGTAGTGCCCGTAGGTGTGCAAATATACGACGATCACGGCCAACTACTAGGCGATTTAAATGACTCGGATGCCTCTTGTATTGTAGCCGGTGGAGGCATGGGCGGATGTAGCGGGACGAATTTTTTGGGTAAACCCGGAGAAAATAAAATAATAAATTTGGATTTGAAACTTATTGCCGATGTGGGTTTAGTAGGATTCCCTAATGCCGGTAAAAGTACTTTCTTGAAAGCCATTTCAAATGCCAAACCCAAAATTGGCTCTTATCCCTGTAAGTTCAAGGAAACCTAAGTTAAGTGCTTACATATAATCAAGTCCTTTAAATTTTAGTCACCACCATCAGACCCCAAATTGGCACAGTGCAATACGCGGACTTGCGTTCTATTACTATAGCCGATTTACCCGGTTTGATTGAGGGAGCACATGCGAATTTTGGCATGGGTCACAAATTTCTTAAACATATAGAACGTACTCGTTTACTTTTATTCATAGTAGACATTTCGGGCTTTCGTTTGTCTCCGAAACATGAGCGCCGTGATTTTTTACAAAACATCTACGCTCTAAATAAAGAATTGGAATTATACGACAAAACTTTGGTTGACAAACCTTCTGTACTACTGATAAACAAGATGGATTTACCAGAAGCTAAATATATTTTCAATTCTAATAAGCCATTTATAAAAGATTTAAGTTTAAAACTCAATGAATGTCCTGAGAATATTAAGCCTGAAAAACTCTTGAAATTTGATGCCCTTATACCAATCTCAGCTAAGAATTCCGCGCGCATTAGTCACGTTAAGGAAAAAGTGCGCCTTTTATTAGATGACCTAGCCGCAAAGGAACATGTCGCGGATGCAACGGTATTAAGGGAGAGTCTTGCAAATGAAATTGGAGAAAGAGGGCCGAGAGTTATTTAAACTGTTACGTTTTATCTATAATTATAAAATGTGCTAATAAGGGCTACTAAGAAGAAAATAAGAAAATTGACATAAATTTATATAAATATGGCATAACTTTTTTTTATATGTTAAGAACTCAGCATTCCGCTCAAATATCACGATTTATTTTTTACCAAACGAGTGCCAGATTATTGCAGCATATTAAAAAAAAGAACTGGTTTAAGCGCTTCGATGGCAAAGCAAACTGTTGTCTTTGGGCAATAAAATCGAAGGGTTGGAATTATTTCATCCCAATGTAATGACGTCTGACTGAATGTAAACATATCGCAGGTCGATGTAGCACTTTGTTTGTAAGTAAGCAAATGATCATGTTTGGATTTTCGGGAGAAAGGATTGGAACATGATTTTAGAGGCAGGTACAATTAAAACTCCAAGAATCTTTACTCCTATGCTGGAAACTTTCTACCAATATACTAACTTGAGAGGAGTGTGGTAAGTAAAGACATAATTACGCTACGTCTTAAGGGTTTTTTGAAACATTTTTTTTTTTTTAAAGGCGCAAGTTACACTGTTATTTTCAAAATTTTAGAATTCGTGCTTATGGGGGATAAATGTTAAATTCAATAAAATCTTAATGTAAACAGGTAAGAAACTTACATTAGAGAGCGACCGAATTTTTTATATCCATTACCGCTATCTTAGAAAAGATTTAAAAAAAGGGAAAAATAAATTTTTATACCCTTTTTTATATCGTCTGTCGAAGATTATGACCAAAAACCTAAACGGGCAGGATGTACGACAATCAGTAAATGGACTCTACAGCAGCAGATATCTCCAATTTTGTGACCATGAATACGTTTGACACAGCAATTAATAGACAAATGGCCAGACGGGTTGACAAACATTTCTAAAACCATCCATATTCCGTACTAACTAATATATAGACTTATATATAGACTAATAGTGGAATGAATTCTCCACATTTTGTTATTGCACTGGTGCTGCAGGACGATCCATAGAATAAAAATTCAAATTTTTATCGTTGTATTGTGTTTTAGAAGGAACTAGCAAAAAAAACAATTTTTCTTTCATTCTTGAAAGCAAAGGTGGTCTCAGGTTATGCTCTGCTGTAAACGTGTCATATACCAACCTACGTGCAGCAAGTCCCAGTGTTTTTGCGAAATTTGAAGCAGATCAGAATAATGTTTACTAGAGACATCACGCAGGCAGGCGGGCGGCGTGCTTAAAATGGTTTAGAATGTGAAGCTGAACAAGAATATATATGCTTTTCGTGATTCCTTACAAAAGGTTTCGATAAATTGTATCTAGCCCTTATCTTTCGATGAAGGGTATAAATATACGGGGCTTATAGCAAATTTATATACGTATATATTTTAGCAACCCATATACCAAAACTACAAAGCCCTTCAATTCTTTCACAAAAATACCAATGCCTATCCAGCAAGTGCATAGACAGGTTTTAAGAGATGTGTGTAAATGAAAGATGTTTCCATAGAACTTAAACAGATCATTAAGCTATTCACATACATATATTTTTTGGTTAATTTGCTTGGATTTTGATGACTTTCTTATAATTTACCAATGAAGGAGGTGTGACCAAGTTTTCCCGAGTACAGGGTAGATATTTTCCTCAGTCCTTAGCGCACTAATATTGCCAAGGTAAGTTAATTTACTTGGAACAAAGTTAGGCGAGGTTTTCTGCTGGAAATGGATTTCTTTACTTGCTCTACATTGCAAATCAGCGGAAACGTCGGATATTCCTATGACTTTAAATTATCATGTAATTGCCTTTTGCGCTTGTGTTCCAGTAGTTCCTCTAAACAATCTGCGATCTTTTTCTGTTTTACACATTGGTACGTCTGTAAACCTTCCTTTTTAGAATGTAGCAACGGAAGAGGTAGGAGTAGAGGTTTATGATATAAAAATACATTTATAGTTGCATCTTTAGTAATTCTATTTTAATTTTTTTTTCAAATTAATTCTTCTCATAGCAGTAGCAATTTTTTCATTTGATTTGCAATATATCCATTCACATATAGTTAGTATGGTATTTGCTATAAGATATTTCAAAAGATATATTTTCTGCTCTCTACATGTGTTTCATTTGTAAGTGTAACGCAAAGTATACCTATTTTAAAAGAGTGTTTTACAACAATAGTATTAATAAATTAAATTTTCTTATTTATATAAATGACTTTTGAAGAAGGGTTAAGTATTTAGGTTAGGAAGGTTTTATTTAGCGTAAGCATTTCTAATAGATACATTATTCTTCTGGCGCATTAAGTTTTCCATCCCAATCTTTGAAGGCAAAATATAAATTTTCCTTATTACTATACTTTAGTAATTCTTCAATAAACTCCCGTTTGACATGTCGTTTCAAATATATTTCCTGATAATCGTTCAATCCGATGTAGGTTTTATCCACCTAAAAAATGCGATCAAATTCATAAGCCACGATAAAATGCGTTCTCTATTTATATATTATTTACCTTATCTCGTTCTTGTATAATGAAAAAAGACAAATCACGTTCGAAGGCTGTTAGCTTTAATCTCTCATGCATTTTAATTGCTTGCATTACGTTATTTAGCAGGGCGACCGCTAGTGATATCGGATTAAGATTTGATTTGCCTTTTACGGCCGAGCAAGCACGCTTAAATTCATTTACATTAGGTTTTTCAATTAGACCACAATATTGAGGTATATCACATTCGATCATTTCGAGCATCAATTCTTTAGCATAAGTACTCGATAAAATTTTTTTCAATTCCGACCATATCCGTTCACCACTTATCACAGACAAACCGGCAGCATAAGCTTTAATGATTTTTATAGTTGATTCATCATACTGGAAAGGCTCTTCAGCTAGACTACCGTAAAAACGGAAATATCGCAAAATTCTCAAATAGTCCTCCGTGATGCGCGAGAAAGCATCGTCGACGAATACGACGCGTTTTTGCAATAAATCATTATAGCCATTAAAGAAATCATAAAGCGATCCATTGAAATCTAGGAACATTGCGTTCACAGTTAAGTCTCTTTTGCTAGCATCTGTCTGCCACATGGAAGGATCTGTCGCGTCCTCTAATCTTTTTTGAATGCGCAATGTAGTTATTTCGAAATTTTTATTGTTTATATGGACGGTTACGGTGCCATGCTTTTCTCCTTTTAGGTTTATCATATATATGTTCTCTTTATAAAAAATGTTTTTCATTTCATAAACGTTCGCGGTAGTGGCAAAATCTATATCCCGCGGCTCAACTTCCCTCAATAAATCTCGTACCGCTCCACCAACTATACGCAATTCGTGCTTATATTTGCGAAATATTCCTCTTAATTGGATCACTTCTTTTGTAAGAATGGGTTCGAATTGCGCATTATCTAATTTCATAACGGTCGTATCTACAGTTACATTACGGGACATGACTTTTAACGATTTGATATTGCGGAACCAATTTTAATTGTTGAACTTAAAGAACTTCACACCATCAATGCACTAATTAAACTGTGTGCATTTTGTTAAAACCCTTTAACTCGGAGCGAACTTAACGGAAACCTTAGTTTCCCTCTTCTCTATAGCGCGAGATGTATTCATTTTCTCATTCCGTTCGCAGCACGAAACAAAATATAGCAGTGATCTGATTGATTATTTTAAGATTCTGCCATGGCAGCAGACAACCGAAAACAGCTTCTAAAAAGAATTTGAAAAGCTGAAAACGCTTTTTTCCCGCAATTTTTTTTTTAATTAGTTGCTATTCGAATCAAAAGTCCTTGCACTCATCGCAACCCTAAAACTTGAAAAATTCCGATAGAAAAATTAACGAAAGACATAAATTTCATGTCGAACATCATCGCCTGGCTATGTATGTGCTACAGTCTAATATCAGTCCTATCACGTTCTAAACGATTATCTGGACGCGAACTTGTTGGAATCTGGATGCGAACTTGTTGGACTACTTATTACTACTTGAGTTTGTTGTAAACATTGAACGTTTTGCATAAGCCTCCTTCGATGCGCTGGAGATCTAGTTCAAGGAGTTGGACGGAAAATTGCTTATGCTTGAGAAAGTATACAAGGAGGCATTAAGACTTTTGCGAAAGCAATTTTGTTTTAAGCACTTGTACATCTCTCGAGAGCACCTGTCTTGCATTTGCTGTTGTTGTTGTCTGGATGACTTTGTTGTCTCTTATGACTTTTCGTTAACTGCAAAAACTGTTTCCATAGAAAATAATGCACATGTTAGGATCTCAAACTGAACATAGTCACACTCTTCTGACAAATACTCTATATCATATAAAATATTATTTTGCGATCTTGCTGTATTAGTAAGGTGGATAACCACGCTGTACCCACGGTAGAGTTAAAAGAAAGTTTAATGTATTAAAGCTGATCCTGGCGGTAAAAAAATAACGATTCTCATAAAAGCGGATGCAACGTGAATTAAACAATATTTGAGTTAAATAAGATGTATGCTAATAAATCATACGATATATAGGGATAGTAGAGAGAAGCTAAGAAGACTACAAGGTAAAAAAAAAATTCTATTCCTTGAATTGTCGTTAGTTATTGTCAACGGAACGCTGTTTATAATTTAAATAGTTAATAATAATTGTGTATGTAATTTTTATATCACATTATTTATTTGAAAAATTCATTTATATGAAAAAAAAAAATGTCCATCCAGACTTTCATCCATGTTCGATGCAACACCAAACTCAAATGAAAAACTTATTTGAGAAACCTTGATTCCCAAAGACCTCTACAACGATACAGTACATAAAGTCTTGAAATAGCAATAAAGTTTGTAAAAAAACGGAAAATGATTTGTTTATTGAGCAAAAAAAATGTGAGATATTATTATACACACCACTGTAAGATCGAGGTATACTCGTTTTTTTTTCTTTTTTCATGATGTATGTAAAAGAAAGCTTCAAAGACTCTATAAAGTATATATATTTTTGATCAGCGTGAAATTCGGAGTTGATTTAGCCAAGTCTGTCCGTCTGTGTGTCTTTGTGCTGTTTGTTGTTGGCACTCTCCTGACCGCAAAAAAAGGATATGGACTTCAAATTTGGTAGAAAAATTGGAAGCTTTTACACGTAGGTTGGTATTGAAAACGGCCAAATAGGACCGTAGCGGAACATAAACTGAACGCAAACAGCGTTTTTATTAATAAAAATTTGTGGGCTTTTGCTCGTTACTCGGAATTAATTAAAGTTAGAAGGCTCAAGTTTTCCACATTTACTTGACGAAGCCCTTTATGTGCAAAAATGGCCAAAATCGGCCATGCCCACACAAAGTTACAAGTGATAAAATAATCGTTTTTTCATTTTTTTGGGGTTTTATGTTTATTTATCATAAGGCAAACAAGACCGAATGTTTAAAACTATTTTGTACATTCCTTAAAAGAAGATATATTATCTGCTTAAAAATGGATTAATTCTAAAATGAATAAGATAGACATCACAACCTGGCGGATTAATTTTTCTTAATAATACAAGCGATATCAAATAAAAGCACTTGGAGAACGGAATGCCAAAAGTATAGTGGTGAGTATGCGAGACTCGGCAAGTTTTTAAAGGAACTCTTATATTAAATAGAAAAAATAATGATGTGATTTCGGATATTTTTTATTTACAAAATCGTTCGTCTAAATCTAAAGAGTGGCTTTGCTAAGATTTTATATATATTCAAACACTCGTTCGGCCCCGCCGAATACAACTTTCTTACTTGGTTTTTTTTTAAATAGAAGTAAAAAACGGGAAAAAGCGACAGGAAATATTGAATTGAATATTACTAAAATCCTTATATTCATCCAAAGGTTATGAAAGTTTTGGATTAACCGACATGAAAAGCGTGAACTCGTGATGCAGAATGATCACATTTATTTCATCAGATGTTTTTCAAGGATTATCAATCCTTCGCGTAATGTTATAATAATTATTTTAAATAAGCAATAAAAATTACTGTTGAAGAAACGCGTATTTATTGGTCACAATGAACTTTCTATGCTTTTTTGGTTAAAGTTTTTTTAAAATCATGAATTTGAAGAAGCCCAAGATAAGGATACTCGTTTATCAGAAGAAAACACGGATATTACCCGCAAATTACTGCAAATCGTGGGCGAAAGATTGCACAGATGCAATGTGTTCTCTTCCTTGTAAGCGATACAACTCAAAACGAAGCAGTAAGAAAATTATATTCGGTCGTGATCGAATCTTTCATCCTCATTACGGTTATAACAAGGACTAAAAAGTAGGTAAAAAGCGAAACGATATTGGGTGAGTGGGGTTGAATTTTTTCCATTTCCATTGTGTTGTATTTTATAAGTAACAAGCATTAAAAACACAGAGAGCAAAAGTGTTCAATTTTTGTTGTTTAGAAGTATAAGCACTGCAGACGTGTCCTTTGATCGGTTTGGGTTACTTTCAAATCTTGTTGCAAGTTTACACCCGATGTCTTCATTTTTGCGAAACGGCAAATGTTTATCATAAACTCAATTTGTGGGCAAATGAACCGGCGAACAGATGGACACGCTTAGGTGCATTCCGAATTTCAAACGGGCCAAGAATTTATATACCCCATGGAGGTTTTGAAGCTTGTTTCTGCATTTCTTAAAGGTATCGGAAAAAACATTCAATTTTAATACGAATATATGATATTGGGCAGGAGACGTCAATTTTTTCCATTTTTGTACAGGCACTACAGCATCGGCTATAAAATATATTTTCCAATTTTTGTAGATTTGTCTACTGTAGTGTGTATGTTTATGAGCAATCGGCAAAAAACGAATATTTTATTCCTTCGGAAAAATGGAGATGTTTAATGCCAATTTGCTTGCAGCAACATCCAATTTTTTTAATGTTGCTAAATTTGAAGCCGATATATTCTTTTTTGATGCCAGGAGAATTTTTTCAGCAGACATTACAGAGACGCACGCTTAAATCTATTTAGAATTTGAAGTTGGTCAAAAATATGTGCGTTTTAAGGGATCTCTGAAGCTTTCTTTTAACCATTGCAAACGTCTCGACAAAATGAATATGTCCCCGGTTCCTCAATGTAATGTATAAAACCACTATTCTCGTTAAACTAAACTCAACTGAACCCCATCCCATCTCCTCTTTCTTTCTTTCTTATTCACTTAATGTTTTTAGCTATTATTCGCCTGCATTCAACTAATTTATTAGCTTCTATTAGATTATAGTCAATTGAATCAATTGCCTTTCGATGGATTGCTTTGTCCGTTTTTCTTTTTCGATATTTGGACTTCAGCTTGCTTGAATTTGATATTTCAATATTGGAAGAAACCGTGGGGAATTTTTTATGCAAATCATAGAGAAAGGGGAACAGAAAAGCCATAATGGTTTACTAAATATCCCAATGTTCAATTATTTTGCTGGTGTTCCTCTTGTTGGTCATATATTTTGCTGGTCTTCGTCTTGCTGTTCATATATTTTGGCGAGTTGAGTAAACAAGGTCAATAATTATGTATTACTTTGAGAACAATTAAAAAGGATGAGTGCTTGATAGTTCTTATACGTCGTTTAAAATCGAAACATGTTACTTACAAAAAAATATATTTACAAAATACGGTATGTAATAAAAAATAGTAAGTTAACGTAAATGAATGCACGTATTGTCCTTAAAAGACAATAACGTTCAGTGATAAATCCCGTTTTTGTGTTTTCGCAAGACTTGGCAGCCATACTTTGCTCATAATTTTAGTCGTCAGTGAGAATTAATTTCAGTGAGTGAATAGAAGTTTTATAGTTAAGTAGGAGATGCAGATTTATTCCATACAGAAATTTAATATAAAAACCCACTTAAAAGTGCAGAGATCTCAGAAGCCCATTGATAAAAATGTTTAGTACATAAAAAAGGAACTTTTTAGCAGAATGTTTACGAAGTACGATTTTGGGAATCGGAATTGTAAAATGAAATAATTTTTTAATACGAAAAGCTCAAAGTGATAAAAGACGAAAAAAAGGAAAATGAATATATGTAGCGAAATGTTGTATATAAGGAGAGTTATGTAAATGCGGTGGGAGCCAGAAGTTTTTTATGTATATAAAATAGCGAGAGAGTCGTTTTTGTGAGAGATGATTTTTTTGTGTTATATAAAGTAAATATTTGTGTTTATGTTTTGCCGGTCATTTATTGTTTACGAAAAATGTCACAACAACAACACCAACAACAACGTAAACAGCAACATTATCATATGTATCATCAGCAGCAACAACAGCATCACCAACAACAACATTGGTATGCCACCTCCATGCATCAAACACAGCACCAAGATCAACATATTCCTGGTCATATACAAGATTCCCGCCATTTGCATACGTTTGCTAGTGGTGCTGGTGGTAGTGGTGCGGGTATGTATATAGGAAATAGCATAACAAACATAAACCGACATGCATACAATATGCCGGCTTCCACGTCTACACATTATCCTTTTGTAAATGCAATGGGAGGTGGTGGACGAGCCTACGACCTTGAAATGGTAAACAGTGTAGCAAATCG